GCTTAAGATGAACCTTTGTTGGCCTCCGAGGGGTGAAATTAATTTATGAACTAACAAATAATCTAGTAAATAAAGTCGTTAAGATCAGCTTCACCTTTATCAGCTGCAGACGCATGCATCAGTAATTATAATCCAATAATATTTTATGCATTATGTCATCATGAGCATTCTTACTTTTTTCAACGCCGGTTCAAGCTTGACTGAGATTGTGTTTCCCTCTTGGTGATGCCAGAGTCTGGTGAGCGAGGAGGATGATGACGAGGACGAGGAAGAAGGGAAGACGGCCGTGCAGGCAGACGACAAGAACAAGAACACCAAACCTGGATTACACGGTATCGTCTTAATTCCTCTCTTCTCTTCTGCGACATTTAAACCAGCTGGTAAACAAACGTCCGTCTTCACTGTGTTTCAGATGTTATGGTTTCACGGAGAACCGACAGAGAGAGAATTCCTGTCCGATATTGCAGCTTGGGCACCAGGGACGCTGCCAGGTACTTTATTTTACGTTTTTTGTGTGTGTGATTTTGTATATCTGGTGAATTAGTGTGCGATAAACACTTGTAAACTCGCATCCTCAGAGATCCACACACCCTCGTGGAGCTGTCGGCCTTCTCAGCCATCAACAGATTCCAGCCTTTTAATGTAGCCGTGTCCAGTAATGTGCTGCTGCTAATGGTAAGCATTAGCGTGATTTAAAGTAGGGCAGTTAAATATTGATTAAAAGCTGGAAGTTACCTGCTTTTTGTCTTTTGCAGGACTTCCACTGTCACCTGACCACCAGTGAGGTGGTGGGGTACCTGGGAGGACGATGGGACACCAACACACAACGTGAGTGAGACTTTATCCTAGAATTAACAAAAAAAAAACATCAGAAGAAGATCAAACTAAAGCTCCCTTCATCTCCATCCTTCTCCCCGTGGTTGCTGTATTCCAGTGCTGACAGTCTTAAGGGCTTTTCCCTGTCGGACCCGGCTGGCGGACAGAGAATCTGCTTCTGCTGTTGAGGAGGAGGTAACACCGAGTCTGTAGTCCGCACTAAAAGCATGCACGCTCTCAGAAAACATAAAGGTGAAAGACACCCACTTTAAAAATTCACCAGTGTTCTCCGTAGCCCAGAACAGTTCAGCAGCCAGCACTTGTCAACATGCACCACTCCAGAAACCCAAGAGCAGACGCTTGAATTTCCACCACTGGGATGTAAAGGTTGTTGCTGCAGAGTGCGTTTGGCCTTAAAGCTGCTCTGAAGCTCTTAGAATTTGACCTCCAGAAACATCACAATGTAAAGTTTGTTCGGTTTATGGGTAGATAGAGATAGATGGATGTGTTATTCATCCCCTTAGGGAAATTAAAGGTATTAAGTAGCTCACACATGTCACATTCAAGGAAGATAAGGACACCAATGTACAAAAGAGTGAGCGATTATTGTGGTGGTCGAAGAAATAAGGTACTAAAATTGTTGGTATTTTCAATAAAGGTGCAAAAAAGTATGAAAAAGCCAAAGTTCAGTGTAAAAATAGAACTAATCATACACATATAGGAGGGCTGCTTGGGTCCAGGTGGAACAGGATTATTGGTTTTTGCATAGCTGAGTTGAGTTTATGTAAAGTTAGGCAGAGAAAATCGACCGACTAGCAGAACAGGAAATGCAAAAATTGTGGAAAACTGTTGGAACATTCAGCCAGAAGCTGAACTGTAGCTGTAAATGTGCACTAACTTCAACTGCAAATTACAATTTAGGTGTTTTTGTAGATTTGCATGATATTACAGAAATTATAATAGTCAATCTCACTAATAATCATTCCTACTCAGGTGATGTAACATTTAAAGCAAACACACTTACTTCTTTTTTGTTACCTTTGCTCCAGATCTGTCAGAACCTGTTCATGCGCGGGCTCTCCCTGGTGGGCTGGTACCACAGTCACCCGCGAGGTCCGGCCCTGCCGTCGCTGCAGGACATCGACTCCCAGATGGACCATCAGCTGAGGCTGCAGGGTTCAAACAACGGCTTCCAGCCCTGCCTGGGCATCATCTGTGGTGAGTGGCTGCTGTTAGATGCTGCACTCGAGGGATGTGAAAGATTATTAGCCAGTTATTGTTATAACACCAAGCTGCACGAGATGCGACTACATGGTGCAAAGTCAGGGACTCATAATTAAAACATCACAGTTCTTTTGACATAGTCTATTATACATATGACCAACACACACATACGTTTTCTTCGTTGCTGCCATTTTTTAAAATGCTTTTTATGATCTTATTAATTTCTTAAGTTGTTTTTTGTTATATGTCTCCATCCTTGATGCTTTAGAAATATCGTTAACCTCAACCTGAACTGAAAATGAAAACATTTCATATATTGATCAGTGTAATGGGCTTTCAGAAATAGTGACCCACAGGTTGCACCGGCCTGACCATGAAAAAAAATACATTAGCGATGGAGTAATGGGGGTAAAAAGGGTTAAAACGTTGTGACACTAGCAGCAGAAAATGCACGTTTGAGGCCAAGAGTAGCCCAAAGCTGATGAGGCGGCAGCAGACGGCGCAAAGCGACTGATGATAGAACAGTTAATAAATAGGTGATAAGTAGTGCAGACAGTGTTGCACTCAGAGGTAATGTGTGAATTCCTGGAGAATAGATTAGCAGAGTTCCCATTAAGTCAGCCATAAACAGTTGGATGCTCATGATTAAAGAGTCTCGCTGCTGCAGGGACAAAAGACCGGCACTCTGTTTTCCACTTGTCAGAGCACGGCAGCGTGTTCCAGAGTTTCTCATTGTGTGCGTTATTTCCGTAACGCTTTGCAGTGAGACAAGGCGAGAAGACGAGAGTAAGAGAAGCAAGTAGGAGCTTGTGTAGGTGTGCAGTGATGAAAGGATTAGAGATTTGTAAAGAATCCAGTATCCTGAGTCAAACTGTGACTTAATTTTAATTAACATCCTTCTAATCAGGGACAACCTGTATTTCTAGAATTTGTTATGTCTTGTTGATTTTCTTGACAAAACGTGGGATTAAGCTGGTTTGAGCTCATCTAGCTCTCAACTCTTTTCTTTTTCAGGTCCATATTATCACGGGAATCAAGGCGTGGCATCTACAATAACTCCATTCTGGGTCGTACCGCCACCTGAGGTAAGGATGTAACTGCTCACCTTCTTCTTTTTTTTACGACGTTGTGGCTAATGTCATTTATTTAGACATTTGTGGTTTCTGCTGAATGTCATCTCTCTTTGTGCAGCAACGACCCAATGACTACGGCATCCCAGTGGCTGTGGAGGTCACCTACGTGCAGGACAACTTTCTCACCAGTGATGTCCTCAATGAGATGGTACTGCAGCCTCAGTTCTGTGGAAACACTACATTTACATGATAAATCATAAACATGGGGCTGAAAGGTGGCACAGTTGGTAGCACTGTTGCCTTGCAGCAAGAAGGTTGCTGCTTCACGTCCCGGTGGGGGAATCTTTCTGCGTGGAGTTTGCATGTTCTCTCCGTGCAGCATGGGTTCTCTCCGGGTTCTCCCACACAGTCCAAAAACATGTTGAGGTTAATTGGTGATTCTAAATTGTCCATAGGTGTGAATGTGAGTGTGCTTGGTTGTCTGTCTCTAAGTGTAGCCCTGTGATAGACTGGTGACCTGTCCAGGGTGTCCCCTGCCTTCACCCTAAGTTGGCTGGGATAGACTCCAGCCCCCCATGACCCTAGTGAGGATTAAGGTGTATAGATGATGGATGGATGGATTTTCATAAACATTTTCTTTCCTCCACAGATGCTGCTGGTCGACTACTACAGAGCAGCTCCCGACCTGGTGCAGTTCAACCAGTACTGGTGTCCCGACACGACCATGATGGACAAGATCAAGGTAGGACGAGTCGAAGGCAACGGCTTGTTTGATGCTTGAAACAGACATTCGGTAGTGGGCCTAACTTGTCTTCCTCCTCAGGGCTCTCTGAGTTGCCACGCCCCCAAAGACCAGGCCTACTCTCAGATCTTAGAGCACGTCTACAGTCAGCTGTGCAGCATGCAGTGATCTCCTCCGTCTCCATTTCAAAACACCTTCTCCGCAGAGCGAACAGGACCGGTGTGACAATGTTGCTTGAAAAAAAAAAAAAACAAACAAAAAAAAACATATAGATGCCTTGAATGCTCTTATGCTTGAGTAATTTTGCATTATTGCGAGTGTAAACAAACTTAGGGGTGCTAAATTTGTGACAGCAGCTGGTCCTGGATGTTGTTATTCGAACACAAAAATGAAAAACCAAACCCAATACTTCACAGGAAACTACGTTGAACCATTTAACGGACTAGAAATCAGCCTGCCCGACTGGCCTCTCACCTTTTACACGTGGACCTATGTGCCTGTCTGTGCCAGCATCCTGTTGTATGAGCAGATATCGCCAGATATGTACGACGTAAACTTCAATGTCTTGTAATTGCCTTTAGAGACGAAACCAATGGAATGGGAAAAAAAACAAGTAGTGCAAACTGTACATTACCAAGGTGTGGAAAGCTGCCTGTGTTTGACCTAAACTGTACTCTGCAATTGGTGAAAGTTCCTCAAGTCACATGGAATGGGTGCGGTGCCAAGCGAGTTAATTTTTTTTAAATCCACCAGTCTAATGAACCAGGTGTGTGTGTCTCTGTGTGTGTGTGTGTGTGTGTGTGTGTGTGTGTGTGTGCGCGCGCTGTGTTGTGAATGTGCCCGTCTACTGTCTCCCCGTATGTGACACATGAGTCCTCGTGGTTGGGACACATATTTGCTTCCTCTTTACCTGTACTGTATTTATTACTAACTGTGGATTGTGTGATATACATGTATGAAGACAGAGCGATGCCTTAAGCCTGCTGACTGATGATCCACTAAGCATTAAAATATACACACTGGAACTATTTAAACGCGGCTGCCTGACTCTTATTTGTTCGCTGAAAAATACACAACAGAAGTTAGAACACTGCAATGTCACTTTAATGTCAAGTGACCCAAAATTATGAATTAAAAACTAACACTTTAGATTTACGTAAATGTAAAATACAGGCTTCACCGTAGGAACTCAATGCAACAAAGCTCAATCCTTGACAGCATGGAGGATGCTTGTGTTGCACAAGCTGTTCTTCAGAGGCAAGTTGTAGAGGCCTTTTGCAGGAGCTGCTGTGTCGCTCTAACGTTCTCATTAAATTGCATCAGATGTGTTTCGCTGGATTCAGGTTAGGTGACACAATATGCCAGGTTAAATGCTTTTTTCCTTTAGAAACTAATCTAACTAAGCTCCTGCCGACTGGAGCTTGACAGCCAGTATTTTGGTCAGTATTCATGGCACCATCTATACATTTCAACTCCCCATCTTTTGCACTCACGTAGCCCCGTATCCTCCCACCTCTGGCTTCACTGTAGGGCCGACACATTCACTGTGGTAGGTTTAGGCCAAACATGCTGCACTCATCTGAGCTAATTTAATCTGATCAAAGAAGAGCTTTTTGTACATTTTTCCAGCAAAGTTTCATCTTGCGTTTCAGCATAAAGGTCGATGCAACTTCCTTCACACCATCACAGAAACTCAGATTTCCATTGATAACACAGTTTGAAGCACCTGCCCCTCCATTTCTCAGAGCTAGATTGTGCAAGTGTTGCACTCTGTGCCGTCATTTCAGGAGGGAGGACGTTGCGACACTGATTAGTGGTGTCATGGCTCCTTCTATACCTCCTGAGAACTGCCGCCGCAACCGGCTTTCGACTGAAATTGGTCGATGATCTTTTCGTATCCTTTTACATCTTTGTGAAGTTTTACTATCAGATTTTTCAGTTCTTCGGGTGTTTTCTTTCCATGGTGCAGGCTTGAAGAAAACAAACTCTACTTATCATGAAATAATGCAATTTTTGAAAGATGTTTTCCATTATTTGACACTTCAGTGCACCGGGATGTTCTCACTTCTGTTGTACAATTTATATTAATTCATCAACCCAAAGTACTTTTTTTGTTGTTGTTTTATGTATACTCGAATATATAAAATCCAAAATTAAAGCTGTAGTTTGTTCTTCTTACTACAAAGCAAACAATATCTTTTTTTTCCATTTTTATTTATTGTAAGAATGGGGAAGGTGGGGGACAAGAAAGAAGCACGTACAAATACTGTGATAATAAAAGACAAAATATTGCGGTTAAATTCATACCAACAGTAAAAAGGCAACTTAAACCTAAGATATACACGTACATGATGTAATACAGGACTACATGCAAGGATTAATTTAAAAGTTTTAAGGTCTTGTATATAAAAAATAATACTATAGAGAGAGCCAGAATGATTTAATGCTGTTCAGAAGAGCATTTAAGACTGATTAAACACATACATAGCCCTTTAAGAAAAGAAATCAGTGGGACATCTTTTTTTTTTTTACATTAAAAACTACAACAAAAAAAAAAAACACAGTTTCCTCTGGTGGTCTGCTGACAAACGTCACATTAGTCTGAACACGACATATCCAGGAAACCGCCTGTAGTGTCATCATCAATGTGCAGGAAGACGCACACATGCATTTCATCTTAACACAGAAAAGTGCCAATGGCTAGAAAGGAAACTAAAAGTGAAAAAAAGAAAAGAAATTCTTGACCATTTTTTAAGTGGCTAGGTTAGATTTTGGTTGCTGTATTAGTTGGGATACTTCCCCTCCTTTCCCCCCACAAAGGCAACAAAGAAAGCTAGTAAGGACTTTTTTTTTTAATAACAGTGTGATCCAGACAGCACCTCCTATCGCCCTCAGCCCTGAACTTCATACAAGAATTGAAATGTAGTAAAGGTCAGAGATGTAAACATATTAATCGAGGACCGAGCTCAGGAGTGGGGGAAGTGTTTGGCAGCGCGGCGTGACGGACAAACACGTATGAAAGAGGGGAAACGAAGCAGAAAGACACCGCTGACTTTCCCTATTATAACTTTTTACCCCTGAAAATTCCAAATCCGCTGGACTAACAGGTGCATGTTTGGCAACAAAGGTTCTAATCCGAATGGACAACAGCTTACAATTACATTTCCCTTGATGTTTTCCCTTTTAATTCAAGGTCTTTCCCTCATACTGTACAGCGTACGCTGGATTAGACCTCCACCTGCAGGTGTGGACCGCGGCTAAATCCGGAACAAGAAGCCAGCCTTGTCTAAACAGATTAAACATCTGCCTTCGTCAGCCCGATGCACGAACGTATCAATCAAGTCAGAGCCATTGTGTATGATCACAATTATAGGATAAGTTCCCAAGCACAGATGAGTTTCACATTATCTCACACATGAGGGCAGACGGTAACAGCAGGACAGTTAGTGAAGAACATAAAAGACTGAGTTGCTGCCAGCAGCGTAGTCTATTCAGGCACAGCGTGGAAGTAACCGGTGCCTAAAACGGGGGGTCAAGAGGCTGAAAAAAAAACGGGAAAAAGACTGAACATGCTATGATAAACGGTCCTGAATCTAAAAGAATATATGGCTGTTACAGAGTCATTAGCAGTTTAACAAACAGGCGCACTAAGCGATATGTTTCTATTGCATTTTATAAAGTCTTTTTGGCTCTGTCTCCTCTATTGAACAGACTAGCAGGCATCCATTGAACAACACATCTGTCTGCGTTTCTAGGCAACAAACACACGCCTGCTTTAAGTGACAAAAAGGTGCAACCTCTGCATTTAACTTTGGGTCTGTGTGTCATGGTGGAGTACGTCTGTCACACACACACATCAATCTCATTTGAGGACCAAGGTGCAATAACAACATTTTCTCACATGTTAAGAAACCAGTCTGACTGTAGTAAGTTGAGGCCGACGTAAATCAAATACTGAAACAACAAAGGGAAGCCACGACGTCAGGCCTGTTGTCTACTGACGCCACCGTCCTCGGACAGTTCAACATTGATTAAAAAGAGAGCATTGGAAATAGGCCGGACCTGGAAATCACAAATCTGAGGCTAATTTTGGCTCATGTTTCTCATTAAAAATGTACATTTTTTTCTTCCTGTAAAACAGCTGTTTCGAGTCATCTGCAGTTCCATTTTAGTTTAGGTGAAAGTAATTCTCATTCGTGCCAGCAGGTGGCACTAGGAGACACGATCCAGCCCTTTATGAGGCACCAACAACATTTTCAGTTCTGACATGAAGACAATATTCAGCCAACTTCCACAAAGCGTCTACTGGGATGAAACTCCAGTCGAAAAACTGACTGATACACGTTGGTGAGCAACCTGAGTTTTAAACAGACTGCAGTCACACTAAAGGCATGACATGAATGTGCCGCTTCAGTCACTGTAATTACTGAATTAGACACATGTTCTCTTTTTCTATTTCATTAATTTGTGGTTAAAAAAATATTGCTTAGAAATGTTTCATCAGTTAGTCCTCAAGAAATGTTTGTGTTTTATGTTTACTGTCAGACAACAGATAATGACATTTAGTCTCCATCTCAGTCCAGACCCGTCTACCTTGAGTATAACAGGTTGGTATTGTGGTCTGGACTTTGAAAGGTGACCATCTTCTCCAGAACTCCAGCTGAAAAAAAACAAAGTGCTCATCTGCAATGATGATGATGATGTTGGAGCTGAAGGTGAAAATGAAACCTCTGTGGACCATCCCCCTGTCTTCACTTTCCTCCCTCTCTATTCATTCTACTTCCTCTCCCCTGCTGCTCTCCATCAGTCTCCTCTTCGCTTTTCCTCTTTGTATTAGTGTGGCAACGGAACGAGGACCTCAACGTAGTTGAGAGGGAAGAATCCCGACTGGCCGTTTAGCATGCCCTCGTACCAGTTCTCGTCGATCTGATTGGTCAGGGTGATGATGTCGCCCTCTCGGAAGCCCAGCTCTCCCTCGTTCTCTGGCTCAAAGTCGTATAGCGCCTTACAGCTCGGCTGCTCCGGGGCTGCGAGGAGAAAAGACAAAGATGAACAAGCTGTTGATAACTCAAACGCAGCAAAGGCCCTCAGCAGTTTCAGGAAAAGGGTGTCGCACTGCACTGCACACATTAGTCATGCGATCATGTGTTCTGTGGTTCACACATTATACAGTAAATGTTAGTGTAACATTAGAGCACAGCCAGATCAGCTACAACACAGCACAGCACTGCAAACAAGCTCAAAAGTGCTGACAAGCTGAACCTCTGACCATAAACTACAACATCCTCTGACTCCGAGGGTCTGTGTGACTGTCGGCCTCCCTCGATGTGCTTCATTTTCTCCCACTGTCCCTTTCTCTGTGACCTCACATAGGTCAGCAGAGGAGAGTAGGGCTCCGCACACAGACAAACTGGGCTTTTTTGTTGGCAAACAATTTTCTCATTGTATCAAGTTCACCCAACACACTGCTGGGTAGGCTAGAGACGGGGAAGGCTTCGGTCACTCGTTCTCTGTGTTTTACTCCAAACTGTATCAGTTTACATGGGCAAGAAAAAAAATGTAAACACTTAATGGAAGAGGATCAACTCTGGGGGAAACTTTATAACAGTTACAAACACAGGCCTCATTAGAAGAGGCTCCCAGAAAGAAAGAAAAAAACATCTAGTAATGCTTTGTGCAAAGGGACAACAGCTGAACCTTCACAGTGAAGAGGCTCTTATTTTGTTGTCTGTCTATGGGACACTATCTTCTAAAAAAGTTTGGATCCAAGAGTGCAAATACAGTCAAGGATGGTTGATTGCATGTAAAAAAGAAGTTAAATATTCACACATGAGCAGACACGGATGAGAAATGACGTTGGCCAGACGATGCAAATTACCGGTTGAACGTAAAAATAGAAAAACAGAAATACTGTTTCAATAAATGCATCACTGTGTGATCTGAACTCAACACTCTCACTTTAGTGAAGCACATATTGCTTGATAGAAACAGATTGCAAATGACCCTAACAGGCTTAGTCGCAGTCATATTAATACTTATTTAGCTACAAAAAAACATTTAGTAAGCCATTATAATTCTAGTTCCACGTGATTATTTCTCAACTGTTAGTTAATGCAACTATGCTGCATATAATAACACTTATTCTGACAAAAAAAAACCCCAGCAAAAATATAAGTATTGTGTAGTTTTGTATTATTGTTAAGTATATCAGAGTGCTGAAAGATTAAACATGACACCTAATGCTAGCACTAGCTCAGGCCTAACAAGATGTCAGTACTTTTCCAACATGTAGCTTTAAAATTTAAACACCCGAACGTCTGTATCTCGTTAAAATGCAAAACTGAGCGTTTCGTATGTAAAGATATGAAGCAACAAGCAGGTCAGTTAGAGGAAGTCTTTTGCAACTTCCAGCTGCGTAGCTTCGGCTCTAAAATCAGACTGTAACGTATATAAAAACATACAGATGGCATAAAGTGTGGCTGCTTGACTTTCTAAAACTTTACATAAAATAATACGTGTAGGAAGGCGAGTTGTGATATTCCAAAAATAGGATGTGGAGTTCAGTACAAAAACCGCATGCATGCTGTTGATCTATGCAAAAAAAACCCAACAAACCGCCGAGTACGTGTTGAATCAATGAGAAGCAACTTATGTCCTACTTCCTACATTTCACACCAGAAGCTGTGCGCACACTGGACCGTTTCAAGCCCACTGCTGAAACTGTGACAATAAAAAAAAAAAGGCCCACACGATCTGAGACTCACACAGTCCTGGTTTCCGAAAGGACAATCTGGCCGAGTGAAAAGGCGGCTCTGATGATGTCACAGGAAAGAGGAACAAGGTCAGTTGGAGAAAGGCCAGCCAGATGACAGAGCGACACGAACACACACACACTTACTCACACACTCCTTCTTTTCCCCTCACAATGGAACACATGTCGATTTTCTCATGGTCAACAAGTCGTTTCGAAAGTCAAACATTCAGCCTGTGCCGTCATTTACAATCATTTACGATCACACGGGAGAGAAAAAAAAAAAGGAAAAGAGAGATGCACGCTGAACAAGTTTCACATACTTGGGCTCAGTGGTACTGATTGGTTGCAGTTGTTGGCACTGTGGAGGATTTTCAGTTCGGTTTCTGTCAAAGATTTAAAAGGAGGGAGCATAATGTAGGCACGCTACTTTGGATTAGTCCCTCCTCTGTGTTCGCAGAAACAGCTGGATGTTTTGTTGTTCTTCAAACTCTGGCATGGCAGCTCTTTGCCACATATTTTACTAGCTGCCCTTTTCTGTGGCTTTCACAGTGATGCAATTGGAGGAACCAATCCAAAACAATGAAGGAGAGAGTTTTAGTTGTTCTGTGAAGACACTTTATGTAAATAGCTCAAGTTCACTGTATGTTCTTGGTAAAATAACAAATTCTTGATACAGATTTTCACTCACAAATGCTAAAAAAGTGTATTTTTTACATCATCTTAATGGTTTCCTACCTGAGTTGCGTGAAGGTGGAGGGGCCATTGATGTTTGATAACAGCCATTCGAATGGTTGTTGTCTCCCATGTCGAAAATAGGTTTGGGTTTGGGTGTGTATTCACGCCTTGGTCGAGACTGAGCCTCATTCATTCTGTTCAAAAAGAAAAAATAAGTTGAGTCTTACAATCGCAAACCTCCACAAGCAATGCTTTGTTGTGTCTCAAGTTACTAAAATCAGTGACAGACTTAAACAGCTCCAAGCAGAAAGCTGAACGGCCAGACCTCCTATACAGTCTGTTGGTATCGGCGTAGGTTTCTTTACTGCACCTGTCTCGGAGTTTGTCGGAAAGCTCCTCCAGCACCTGAACAGCTTGTCTGTGATACTGCAGCTGGGACTCCACCAGGGATGAGAGCTGGCTCACCTGCTCTATCTGCACACACACACACACACACACACACACACACACACACACACACACACACACAGGTGGAAATATATCATACATGCATCATTGTATAAGTCATTTAAAAGGCTAAACAGCTTCATAATCCAGGCAACGAGTAACACAGTTCAGTAAAGCCTCTGTAACAGTATGTGGCCATTAAGAATACATGACCGTACATTATCAAGAATTCAAAGCCTAAAAATTACTTATATATTTGTTTGACAAAATAATCTTAGTCTCCAAGGTGTATTTTATCAAGCTGTTCCAAATATGGGTAGAGGTTTATCCAAAACACTGCAAGGACACAGTAAGGTATTTAGAAATGAGTCTGACTACACAGACTGAGTCATTTCCACCTGACCAGGGTTGGTTGAGGTTTTGTAAAGGAGCTGCAGTGTGTTGGACACTGGTCTCATTTTGTTAAGTGCTGGACTTCACTGCTACACTCTGAACTATGTCAAATTAAATTATTAGAAATGCATACTGCTGGACTTGCCAATATTTTGCAACTAATTTTGGCCAATTGCCGATGCAGATATATGTACATTTTTCAGTCTAATTGCAGAGAACATCAAGTTTGTCTCGTAGAGGATATTAACAAACTGTTGAGACTACTGGTATCATGATGGCCTACTGAGACATAACATGCAATGCTTTTAAAATGTACACATTCACTGAGCAAATTGGGAAAAGTACTTCCACTGAAAATAATATGGAACATTTTGAAACAAAACTGTAAACCTTGATTGACTGATATTATCTGGTTGTTCATGTGAATTTTGGGCCAGCGCTGACATTTGACACAACTGATGATAATACTGATATAGCCAGTGGCAACACTAAATATTTAACGAAGCATTAAGCGTGTTCCTTTTTTTGAAGATGAACTACAACATGACTCAGTACAGGTGGTGCACTTGCCACCGTTTTTGTTCATTATTAACTTTTTTTTGGCATTCGTGAATCAAACCTTAAATTTTCCCAGATTAAAAAAATATTCTCACACAAAGTATTTAAATAGTCGTGAGGAACGACATAAAAGAGGCTGACACTAGAGAAATAACAGGAAATATGAAACAGACTTCCCCTCCCAGTCAGACTGCAATATTCACGCTGTCAGCTAGTCTTCAATATTATAACAAAGCCCTGAGCTGCAGTCATGTAGTTTAATAAAACAAAAAAAACACAAATCAGTTTGACTACTAAACCCAACTAGTGAGTGAATGTTTCAACAGCTTTAACGCAGCTATTTTAAGACATGTTTATCTCCAGTGTTGTTGTGCTGAATGGGTGTGTTTCATCTGTTTTTACAGCTCCAATAAATGAAGCCTGTGTTTGTTCTGTGGGTGTGTATTTGACAAAGCAAAGTAAAGCAGTACAGCGACGGTAGCTAGAAAATGTTTCATATGACAGTAGCCATAGATACCATAGGGCAGCTCAGGTTGAAAATAACTAGTTATAGGAGCAAAACCTTCGGATTTATAATGACGTAGTTTGGAGAGAATACAGGAGTTTGATTGGATCTTTATACTGCTATAAGAAATCCAGAGTCACTTATTTTAGTCTGTATATTCTAGACATATAATTGTTCTTTTATCACATATATTAGTAGACTTTAAAAGCGATATTACACAGGGGTGATCTCACTTCTGTTGTAATCTGTATCTGCCACTGAGTGCTGACGGACAGTGATGTCACCGGTGATTGCTGATAGAAGGTCGGGTGGGACTCTTTCTCCTTTTTTGCCAATGCAATTGATCCATGAGCTAATCGAGTCAGAATCTACTGTGTTGTTTTGTTCCTCCAAGATTTACTGACATAAAGACCTGGTTGATGGACAGTGCCGTTGCCATATTTGCAGGGCACAAAGCTAAGAAAGTCCCTGACTTTTTGATGCAGTGACAACTGTTTTTATTGACTGCACAGGGGCAGGGTTAATCTTAAAGCAATGCCTCAGAGGACAAACGTCAACACAACACTTTAAGCAGCAGTAGGTCCTTACGTCAGTCTCCAGCAGGTTGTACATGCTGGTCTCGGCCACTTCCTTTGACTCGTGAAACTTCTCCAGGGCCTGTCGAACCTCCTCATCCGGGATTTTGCCCTGACGCTTTTTCTTGTAGTCGTAGTCCAGGCGACGGCCTTCCAGCTTCTTCAGATGGTGCTGAGGTGGGAAGAGCCATAGTTTAGTCAGTTTTTGACGTATGAAACACTGATTTTTGTGATTTAAAATGCTGAAAACGTCTGTATTGTCGACACATTCTTTACTGTAACTATTTTGCACATGGTTAAAAGATACGCACTAAGGATTTCACATCAACTGAAATCTGACCACTTAAAAGGAGCTACTCTTTATTAAAAAAGGTGTGACTGGGAGATGAACCAATAAACCGTCATAAAAGCATAGTGCATCAGATACCTGTATCTCTCGGAGGTCCTTGTCACAGAGTCCTTGCAACGGATCAATAAAGTTCTGTTTGACATCAATGTCTAGAGAGTCTTTGACTTCTGCCAGTCTCTTCATGGCCTCTCCTACGTCTACTAGAGCTCCACCTGAACCACACACACAGATTTAAAGTTCAATGGCAGCTTTCAGTTTCCTACAACAATGCTACCATCAGTTTACACATACAGAACAAAATCACACGCATCGAGTACAAGACCTAAAATAGCCAGAAAGCATTTTATAGACACTCTGTAAACAGTTTGGGTGCAGTCTATCAGTGAGCATTTTAATTATACCACATTTACACAGACGAGCTCCATAACTATCCACACTTCAAACCCAATAATTACACACATCAGTGTTCCTCTACCAGGAATTTACAACCCTTAACCACACACAAACACACATATCTTACCAAAGTTAGTGTCCTCTCCGAGGTCCCGCCCATACTTGGACATGCACTCTCCTAGCAGCCCCTCAGCCTGTGGATAGCCGGGGTTCTTTACCTGACCACGGATCTTTGACATGGTGTTCAGCATTGACAGCTTGGCCCGTGATGCTGTGGAAGTAAGAGAAAAGGCATAAATTAGGCAAATCTGGGAGTTTAGATACTGCAAATATATGCATGAAAACAGCTTTTCTTCTCACCTGGGTTGGGCTGCAGGTACTCTGATGTTTTGGAGATGACCTCCACTACTGCTTTACTGGTCACATCTACTTTCTATAAAACACAGCACGCACATCACGAGTTACCAACAGAGGAACTAGTCTTGGGAATAGAATAGAGACTTCAGAAGGGGACTTGCTGCTAAACATTTGCTAGCAATCACTTGATAATTCATAAAAATGCCTGCTTTTATTTCAGTCACCTTTGGATACAACACAAATGATATAGTGTCTTGTACTGAGACGTATCTCAACATATTTAATATGCATTTATTCATAATGAATTGTTTGGTCTATAACATGTCAAATTAAAGTCCATTCAATATTCCAAAATGTTCCCAAGGTGATGTCTTTAACTCGCTTGTTCTGTGTGATCAGCAGGTCTAAACCCTCAGACGCACCAGCAAGTATTAATATTTAGGAAGCTGCAGCAAGTGAGCTTGTTCAGCATTTTTGCTTAAATTGTACTTTTGAGTTTTCACAGTGATACCTTCTCAGTTTTCAGCTTTTCATAAACTTGATTATTTTCTAGTTTTGCCTTTATTTGACTGGCTGACAGGTGTGCAGCATGCAGTGGCTGAACTGTGGGTAATGTGAGGTATGCCCCAATTTTTCATCAACTTTCAAATCAGAAAACTTTCTAAACCAGTTAAGGATGATGTAATGCTTTAAACGAGATGTAAATAGGAAGTCCCCCACAAACCCACGATATGTTTGCGTAATGTCTAACAGCAGCCCGGCCTATGTGTCTGATTCAACATATCTCTCTTTCAGGACTACAGAAGGATGCCTCCCTTACCCGTTCCAAGTCTCTGAAGTCATCATCGAGTTTCGTTCCTTCTGCACCTCCAACTTTCTCACTTACCATCTACAGACAGGGAAACCGAAAGAGAGAGAGGGGGGAAAGAATGAGAAAACAGAGTGCAAGTTCATTAATGCTGCTCATAAGGTTTTGATTTGAGTGGGAATCAAGCCGAAGAACATCTCCAATTTACAAATGGCTGCTCGGTGACAAACATGCAGCATATTGTGGGCCATGTGTTGTGCAAATCGTTCCCTTCAAACTAACCAAGCGACTTTGAAGTAGGAACGCAAAACAGAAATACCCCAGAAATCGCATCGAGTACAACATCATAAACTTTACTATGCAAATAAAAAAGAAAAATGTTGGACCAGCTAACGGCACCACTTCTACTTCACTCAGGATTCTACAACATGCTGACGTTAACTGAGAACAAACTTCAGCATGTTTAGGAGGAACCACTCAGCATGGAGCCCGTTTTCTGTGTAAGTATTACTGTCATCCTTTTAGGCTAATTCCTTAAATTCTCAGGAGGGTTTGTTCTTTTCTAGAAACACGTGGAATTCGATGAAACTGTTATTTTGACTTTCTAATTAGTCGGTGCTGCTGTGACTTTAGGACAATTAAAATCTTGACTGCTGAGTCCTTTAGCTGCCTGGCTCCAGATCCAGGTTTCCCCGAGTGGAAGAGGCAGCAAATCAAATCCCATCACCAGCAGTAAGATGATAAAAGTGCAGCCCTTTGTTACAGAGTACTGTGGATCTGTTTCTTTAAGACAAAAGCCATAATGACTACCTTGTGCTTTGCTAAGGATTCCAGTCCACAATACCGTTGTAGTAATGAAACTACACGAGTAGTAAAATCAGGATGTAAGACATTGGTGTTGTTCTTCTGCATTTAAGTTTTGCAGAGATATAACAGCCACCAATATTAATATTCAATTATAGTATTACTAGAAGGAGCAATAGACAGGTAATAAAACACAAGAAAAGCTCTGACAAAAGGATGAATTTGAATTATCTGCAAATTGCATCTGTACAATTTGGATTTTACTTTGTATAACGCTACAGCAGATGTTCCTAACCCCAATGTAAACTAGTTTTTAGTCAGCTGGTTATTTCTGGACCTGGTGTTTGCTATGTGAGCACGTAGCAATTCAAGTCAAATCATCATTATATAAATCCTTTGGTTAAGAAGTTCAGATACAACAGGAGGCTTTCCACAACAGAAAGGTGGGCAGGCGTGAGGCGTAACGTTTACAGGAACAGTCCCGTAATCGGCCCTTTGAGCTTTCCTGCTTCTATTGTGATGCAGGATCTGACAGCTTTGCCTGCGATGTGAAGTCAGAGTGTGCCAAAACAACAATAAATAGTAGTTACTGAATGCAACTTTAGTTCTATGCAGGAAAACTGAAGGTTTGTTAATCTATATGGGGAATTTACATTGTTTATGGCGATGTTAGAGAGAAGACTGCTACTCGCCTATTAAAACTTTAGCTTGTTGCCCCCTGTAGGTTTAACCAATCAGCATGGAAAGCTACCTGGTGTTGATGTTTTTTCTCCCCTGTGGTCAAATATCCACAAAGTTTCAGGCCGCCTCAAACTTCCCACAAGTTCCTGAAGTGAGAAACGGCCCATTGTTCCTTTCCTTAGTCTAATTGGCTCATCTGAGATGCAGCAACAACAGTTTGTAGTCATTTCCTACATGACTCATAACCACTGCTGGTGACCGTTATGTGATTCCTGGAATTACCGACACTTTATGGGTCCGTCATAAATTTTGACATCAAAACTTTGATTGTGAAGATTGCACAAGAAAGACTCTGTTTCAACAGAAATTTAAACAGAAGACAATCACGCTCACACCTCAGCAGCAGCAGCTGACTGACTTTTACTAAGCAGTCTGGTATCTGAGAGACATGCTGCTGTATCTCTGCTCTGTGCGGAAAGCACATGACAAGGGGCCTTGAGGGATTCAGGTCACAAGTAAAGAGACAGCTTCAACTCGCAGCCTGCTCAGGATTTGACTCCCTACTGCTGAGGAATTGTAAAACTGCAATCTACAGTCCAAATCCTTATTTTTTGGGGTATTCTGGCCTCTCTTTCAAGACTTCTGGGAAGGGTAATGAATTAAACTTATGACCGTGTATGTCGCTATTCTTATAATAAGTTGCAAAAGCAGAGAGATTAGTCTTTTTTTTTTGGCTTTGAAACTTTGTTGTAAAAAATATTGCATTTTTTCTGCTGATGGAAAGTTCAACTGCTAGTGTAACATTATTATTTACATGCACACATACCGAAAGCAGATAGAGGCCAAAAACATCCACAGTATGCTCTCACAGGCAAGTTTAGGTATAAACACAAAGAGCTACACACAGGGATCAGCCTGTAGCAGGTAACCTTTTCATCATAATAACTGGGTATTAGTTAAATGCTAGAGCATTATCACAAAGCCTGGTTCAAGCTCTTGTTTGGCTTCAGATGACATGAAGACTGCAAAGCCCAAAAAGCTGAATTATACAGACAGCTAGAACAGTGAGAGGGAAACCACATTGTATTCAGCAGGCTGCAACGCCCTCACAACAAACCTGTGTAGTAGCTGCTAGCTAAGGCACACATGCTGGCCATTTTCGTTAAAGACAGCACATGCAATTAGAACTTTTAGGCAAATAATTGGAAGCGTAAAAAGAAAAGTTGTTTATAGATCAAACACTTTGCCCAGAATACTTTGTACGTGAAAACCAAACTACATTCGAGTATCAGACATGAAAACTAGGTCAAAGTATTAGAGATTAAAGCGACATATAAAAATAGAGCTGTCACCAAAGTACCTGTGAAAACAACATTTTAAGAGAACGCTATCTGAATGATCAGATGTCAGACAGTGGAGGTGCGAGAAGAAATTTAGCAGGTTTTTCTGGTGATACATAAAAAGCTGCCAGACGTTCATAGTGTATTCAATCAATAGAGCTAAGCAAGCCTTCAACTAATCAGACAGTTTGGTTATTTTTTTAAACCTCTTCCTGTATTCTTACCCAGTTAAAGTGCAAACTCTTGGGTACTTTCCTTTTATTTATGTTCCACCATCATGCATTTAATACTCAAACTCAAGTCCAGTTAATCAGTAAACCTTTACTGATGGTTTCACCCTTTACACACATAAGAACTGTTAAGCGCTACAAGTGGGTGATATGTGTAATATTTAATGTCTGGATAGATTTAATTCTATGTTATTATACTATGTCATATCATATTACATTACACTATCTTAAAAACCAAAGATAACAACCCCACAGGAATCTTTTTTCTTGGACTAATCCAACACCTGACAAGTCAAAGAACTTCCTCACATTGATGTAAAAGTCAGACGAAATACGATGCTGCAAAAACAAGCAGTCCTGCTCAATGATTTGTTAATACACCCAGATGTACTAATAAGACAGATACCATCATTAAAAGTGAAAAAGAGGAAAAACCTTATGACGGTTAACTCATTCATATAACCTCAGTCATTAGCATCATACCTTAATCTTAATTAATCCAATTAACCACATCTGTAGCTCTCAGTCTGCTGCTTGTAACACTAATGCCATCTGCTTTTCACCTGCACTTGTATCAGTAACCGATTAAGAGTAATAAAAAAACAAACAAACGGGGGATTATATTACAGACCAAATCGTTCCTATAAACCGGATTAACCCCGACGAAGTCGGCACCAAATTGTAATCTACTTTTTTTGTTATCAGTAAACTAATCCGATCTGATTGAACTGTGTCTTAACACCCAGTATGATGTACATGCCAGACTGGAAACAACAAGTGTGATGTTGTTAAGTGTGCCCGTTATAAAGAGGCTTGTGGCAGTGGGCCTAAAATGGCAAATGGGTCACAGAATTAATTCAATTTCAAAGATATGAACATACCTCTAATGCCAAATTCAAAATATCACCAAAAAAATAATAGATTTCTTCCTGTTAATGTTAAAATTTTCAATGAAGAGACAAACACAATCACAGAATATCATAGTTTAAAGTATGGCTATTAAGAATTCTTCATTCTGTCCATTGATTCTCGGCACCTGGACAGTATACCCAGACATTTCTGATGCATATATTTGTTTATTTCCTTGTATTAAACTCCTGGCAGGCGCAGCAACAGTGACACACATTGTTAAAGCTCAATGACAACCACGTAATATACCTGAAATGCGGTTTGATATTTGCTTTCCATCAGCTTTCACTTTGCGTGCCATCATAACAATAATGTAACAGATGACTTATTGGGGATTACCCTGACTAAATCCACTTGTGTATTTCCATAAAATCACACCTTCGTTTAAATAATATTTTTTCAGGACTAGCAATCAATCCCACTGTGTGTGATTTTGTTTGTGCCCTTTGCGTCATTCCAGAGAAATATCTGGAAAAACAAATAACTGGAAAAAAAAAAAACGAGACAGTAAAAGAGAAAAAACAAGGGCATGTGAGTTCAGGGCACAGATATCATTTCCACAGCCAACTTCCTGCATGTTTCCAGCGTAGAAAATCTGAGCTATGCCGAGTGTTATTGACTCTCATGGAGTTTTTGGCAAGAAAAGCAGCTGCAATGCAGTCAAATAAAGGGGGGAAAGCACACTCTTGCCACCTCCTTCTCTGCATCATTCCTCGGGCCACTTTCTCATCCACTAATCCACTTTATCTCCCTCCAACACCTCTGCTGATCGTTTGCCATCACGGTTTCAGCTTCTAAAATCATGTTATTTTTCCTCACAAACCGAAAACCAACAGGGATCTGACTGTGTTCCTGACAGGAAGCTGGGGCAGAAACCAAATGTCTTTCCTGCTTAGATCAGCAAGGGTAGGAAGAAAGAAAAAAAGAGAGACTCCAAAAAATCTTTTCAACCGTCCCCTCCCATGAGTGAGAGCTGCCCCAAATTAAAAACACTCACACCAAAGTTCACAGAAAAAAATGCTTTAACTTTCACATTTCCATGGCGAGCAGTTGCATGTCTAAGGCAGTGGTATGCAGGGTTTTTTTCCTACCCCTCAACTGCCCTAAATATTGATCTGTCTCGCTAAACAAAAGACTTAACAGAAAACACAGCTGTAAAATAGGTGACTCCACTTCAAAGAAGACAGCTGGGACCTAATGAGGAGCTTACACGACTTCTTTAGATGGAAATGAAGGACTGTTTCCATGAATCCACCTTAACTTGTGGCTCACAAGATTTACAATACTTATTTTTTTCTTTTTTACTGCATTGTTTTTCTGAACTCTTTGAGCCCTGACTCACCCGGAGAGTCCCCTGAGGCAAACAGAGCTAATGTTTACCACACCGAGTCTGCATTTCTGTGTAAAAAGCACCAACACACCACAATACACGTAAACCAGCAACACTAGCCAAAGTTAGTTAATGCAAACAGTGTCAGAAAATGTGCTTGTTAACTTTAACGCCGGCTGTTAAAGAACACAAAACCCCTGTTAAAAATAAAACAACACGTTAAACACTGACACAGAAAGCGTCCGAGCAGCTAGCGTTTACGTTAACCAACCGTTACTAACGCTAGCATACTATACACCGTTAGCCGACGATGCTAAGCTAGCTGCTAACGATACATGACAGTTGCTAGCGGTAAGAGAGAAGAAGAAGAAGAAAAAAAAGTTTTGCAAACCTGACTGGCTTTATAAAACTGCTTCTTCAGGCCCGCTACAGACATTTTGGACCCCGGCTGTCTTCCAACTTCCAACGGAGGTGTAAATAGGTCACGATATACCCAAAGTTAGCGATATAGTTTGTCAGAAAATGGGCCAGTGCGAAAAAATGTTTCGGAGGAATCATAGGACTGCTCAGCCGTCACTCCAAGTCGGGACACGCCAACTGACCACGTCCACGTCGAGAGCGATTCTTCCCGCTGTCACGGCAGATGTAACGCGGAGAAATGAGATATAAAAAATAAAAAATTACAAAAAAACACACGACCCAGTTCAACCGTGTTATTTCCTCAACCGAGAGCAGACACACTGGTGGGGCTTTGTGCTGCCTTTACGCAGAGCAGCAAATCTGCACCGGCCACTTTGAAGAAATCAGTTTCTGAGTTTGCGTTAGCAAGAAGCTGTGCGGCTGTTTAGTTGGTGCGCAGCGCCCCCCGCTGGACGGAGTATGTAAACACCCGGCGGGCTGCAGAGGAGCAGCAGCTGGAGGACTGCGTCTCTGCAACTATTGTTTAGAGTTAACTCTGTTGTTTGGGTCAACAGTTTATTCTGAAGGGAAGATAGCTTTTATATTCTGGAGACACGGGAAAAAGATACATGCACAGTTTTGGATGGAATAATCAATTAAAACTATGAATATGTGGCCGTAAAGCAGTATCAACATTTAAATCCATAATGTGTAGGTTAAAAAACACACTATTTCAGTGGGGGAAACCCATAAAACCATAGCTTGTTCATTACTAAATAGTGTTTGTGTGCATTAAACATGTAAAACTAAATGCATTTGGGTAAATAGTGATATAAGTGGGTAGAAAAATAAAAACTTTGTACCAATACCTTTTTTGTAGTTCTGGGTAAAAGTACTGTTTAAGTGGAACAAATGGTTAAAATTATGACTACATGGACAAAGGGTAGGATTTTGTGTTTTAAAACCAAAACTCAACACTATTTGGGTAGAAACCATCGTTAGAAAGTACTACTTATGTGGATTAAATCTTAAAATTAAAAGCACTTGGACAGAAAGTATCATTTTGGCTGACAAAAAAAAAAAAAAACACGAAAATGGAAATGCATAACTTTTTAGGACAAACGTACTATTTAAGTGGAATAAACATTTAAAATCAGAACTCCCTATTTAGACAGTACCATCTGACTGGATTAAGACTGTGTGACTAAACCTTTAAAAACAAAACTTGTCTACTGGAAAGTACAATTTGTGTGGAATAAGTACTTGGACAGAAAGTAGTATTTTGGGTGGACTAAACCTTTAAAACCACAACTCATTGGTTAGACAGCACATTTTGAGTTGAATAAACCTTTAAATCGTTGTACATAAAGCAGTAGTAGTTTAAACATTTAACTTGTCAGTTAGAAAAGCACTATTTTGACACTCTAAACCTTTTAAACCAGACCTTGTTCGTGATGACGGAATGGTTTGGTTGGACAGGACTTGGACAGGAAGTAGTGTTTTGGGTGTAAAAAAGGTTTAAGTGCATAACTGTTTAAAATGAAAGCACTATTTGAGTGGCATAAACCTTCAAAACTATCAGCAGATGGGCAAAAGGTTGTCTTTTGTGTGGACTAAACCTTTAAACTCAATAGCTAGACAATACAATGTGAGTGGAATAAACCTTTTAAACCTCAGAAAGTACTATATATGTGGACTAACCCTAAAAATGAAAAGTAGCTGGACCTAAAGCAGTAGTTTAGGTGGTATAAACCTATACCATGCCAGTTAGAAGGCACTATTTGGACGGAAGAAACATTTAAAACCTCAATTTCTTCATTAGAAAGCACTAGTTGTTTTGTATAAACCTCTGAAATCAAAAGTACTGGGACAGAAAATAATAGTTCAATTGGGGAAAATAAAACAGCTTTCAACCAGTAGCTTTTTAGCATGATAGTACTATCTAATGGGGAATACACCTTTTGTTTGGACTAAACCTTTAAAACCAGAACTCACCAGTTAGACAAGACTATTTGGCTGNTTAGCATGATAGTACTATCTAATGGGGAATACACCTTTTGTTTGGACTAAACCTTTAAAACCAGAACTCACCAGTTAGACAAGACTATTTGGCTGGATTAAAACTGTTAAGACTGTAAATTGTTAGTTTGACATTTCGGGTGGGGTACTAGGACAGAAAGCAGTATTTTGGGTGGACTAAGCCTTTAAAACCATACCTCATGAGCTAGACAATACATTTTGGCTTGAATAAACCTTTACAACAATAAGTATGTGGGCAAAACGTAGTATTTTGGGAGGTATAAACCCACAAATTGTTAGAAAGTACTATTTGGGTGGAATAAGCCTTAAAAAGTAAAAGTATGTGGACAGAAAGTTGCATTTTGGGATTTAAAAAAAACAGCTTCAACCCCGTAACATGGACAAAAAGCAATAGTTTGGGTGATATAAGCCTTTAAACCCACAGCTTGTTACTATAATAGTACCAATTTAAAGGAAGAAACCCTTAAAACTATAAATATTTACACAGACAGTGCTCTAAACCTTTATAGCTCATTCACTAGAACATACTGTCGGGGTCGACTAAATCTTTAAAACAATAAGTACTTGGACAAAAAGTAGCATTTTTGGGGCGGAATACACCTTTAAATCATAACTCAGCTGGTGGATTAAACCTTTAAACCCATAGCTTTTTCATGAAAAGCACTATTTGGGTGGAGTAAACCATTAAAACCAGAAATACTTGGATAGAGAGTAGTCTTTTGGGTGTACTAAACCTTTAACACTTGGTCTCACCAGCTAGACAGGTGGGTTCAAACTTTTCAAACTATAATTTAGCTCAACGAGGTTCCTAGAAGTGCGGGGTCCTGACACTGCAGCCTCCTTCGCTGCAGACACATGTACTTTTTGCTGCAGGGCCTACAGACCAGATGTTCCCTTTCTCATGCCGTGTTCTTCTTTCAGTACTTTCAGGAACTAACCTCTAGAAACACGCTTGCTTGCTCTAGTTTTGCAGCTGTTTAAACACCCGTATTTAAGGAAATGGCACATAATAACGCAAAACAGAAATTTAACAGAGGCACCTTCTTCTGAGATAGAAGCAGGGCGTCGATGTTGAGGAGTTTCATTCGTGCGTATCCTTTAGCATACTTTCAGTTCTTCGTGCAGTAGGTGTGGAGTATTCATAGGGCCATGGAGTTCTTAAGCCCTCAGGGAGTTTTCAGCCTGAACTGGATTTTCTGCCTTGGCTTTTAAAAAAAACAAAAAAAAAACCCCTCCAAACTATCTTGTCTTTCCTCACTATCTGAACTGTATCTGACTATCCAGAGAGTTTCAGAGTCATGCGATTGGACTTTGTGATTAACGGCAGACGTGTCTGACACGACGCCCAATTCAATGAGGCTGGATTAAATATAATTTGTGTAATAAGATAAAAATGATTAGCAACATATCGTCACCAGCAGAGTTCTGGTTAATCTGGACTGTTTACAGGATTAAATGGGAAAACGCCTAATTGAGCTGTTACATGAATGACCACAAGTAGCTCAGTCAGTGTCCCTTAAAACACAAATTGCATTTTTTTATTAATTTATCTTTAGAATATATTTAACCCCACCATCCTAAATAATAGGAATAATGATAAATGTCACATAAATCGAGACGACAAGTGTTCCTTTTAATTGCAAAAAGACTTTTATTACATTCTTAAATCCACATATAGTATCACCATTGTGCAATAACACTTCACTGTGTTAAAACCTCTTGGGCTTTATATCCATGACATACCATAAATTATTTCATATTAAAATCTATATTGATTTAATTATAATAATCTTAAAATAGAGTGAAAATATCATAAACAGAAGGATCATGACAAAAAGAGAAACTTTTTAGGGAGACATCTTTTAAAAACGCTCTTTTTAAAAAAAATAGAATTACATCTCTCCAAAACAAAAACAAAACAAAAAAAAGGACACTAAACTGATGAGAAAAAAAAAACAAAAAAACAGTACATAAAAGGATAAAAATTAAGAAACAAAAAGATCACAACAAAACCAACACAAAATTCAGAGATTATAATCCATCTTTTATATTTATATATATATATTTTTTAATATCCTATTTAATCTATGACTCAAACTCAAAAAAAAAAAAAAGTTTTGCAATAATGATATTAGACAGGGGTAAAATCTTTGATAGTTCTGTAATCAAACATTCACAAGAACATGTACTGTACACAGTGATCAAGGTTTAAAGGTCTTCTATGTTGGTGCAAGGTGTCTTGCTAGCTAGACTAACTGCAGACACTGTAGGACAGAGAGCCCAGCTATCTCCCTGAGTGACTCTAAACGGAAATGTAAGTGCAGATCATAAGTTCTGCCCCCTGGACAGATTTCTTTTTTTTTTTAAAGCCTGCTAAAGTTACTAAAATACACTGAATCACTTGAAATCAGTCTTAACATTCTCAGGCTTCGACGCACAAAGTATTGCACTTTGTTACAATCTATGAGTGCCGTTGCGGCCGCTTTTCAGCTCGTTTGCAAAAAGAAGTTGGCTTGCGTATTTGGTAAATCATATTCGTTGTGCTGTGAGATAAACTGCGCTGGAGTGCTTGTGAGAATAATAACCGTAGTACGCGGCGGCGGAGACCCGACGTACTGAGAACAATGGGAAAGACATTATTGCACAATCCCACAATGCCACTGTCTTAAGTACCAAGACAAGGGTCACATCCCCTTCATTCTAGCTGAGATAACGTGGTGTCTGGCGAACAGCACTGTCCCAGCAGTGCAAAGCAAAAAAAAAAAACCTGGCTTAAATATTACACAGAGACAGACATCTGTCATGTGATTGTCATAAAAGGTAGAAATTACAGCAATGTTTTCTCCAATTGCAGCTGTTCTTCTCTCATGGCTTCTGTGGCGTACTGGTAAAGTAATACTTTTGTTTTTACAGAAACCCAATACGCCCCCTTTACTCGAAAGGTTCCCTCAGGTGTCTCCAGAGACTTCACTCGAGATCGACCTACATCTGTCTTCCTGGACCCTACAGGTGTGAATTACTCTGACACTGACAGCGTAGCGGTCAGAGAAGACGTCCTAAACGTATGCAAATCCAGCATTTCACTTTGCTGTTGTCTCCTGTCCAGTTTTAACAAACGTGGTTTTGACGATGGCGTTGGAATCTCAACACTAGCTGTTATGTTTTTGACGAAGCTCTCTAGTACGACTGCGCGTATATGAACTCAGGGGGGTAGCTGATGGCTCTGTCAACCCTTTGCTGTGCCATGTAGTGTTTGAAGAGGGTGAGGTAGTAAGGAAGTGGGGAATAAGGAATAGAAGATTTAATTCTCCAATCAGAACACCTTCGACAGCATCATCCGCCCCCGACCCCGAAGAGGGAAAGCTGATGCAGACAGTAAATCCCCTTTTTACTGACAGCTAAGAAGCTTAAACAACACCACCTTTCTATTCGTTTGCCCACTCGTCCGACCGTGTAGGTGCACATTTGTCCCGTTTCTTTCTTTAGTCCAGAGTCTTTTGAACCCGCTGGAGGTGCTGGAGGTTTTTCCAAATGGGGGGGCAGATTAAAACCCCATGCAGTGGTCCCAGCACCTCCGTCATACAGCTTTATCTACAGCGGGAGGGTGTTTCTGGTTGAGTTTCACAGATGGCAGTTTGAGTGCGAACCCGTAGAATCCTGTGCCGAAAGACCATTTTAGGATTCTAACAAGGGCTCATAAGTGCTAATTATCCAGATTCTTTTTTGTTTTGTTAGTTCAGCAACAATCTTTCTATCCCAGAACCCCAAAGTGTGGGCAGGCAGTATCTATTTGAGAGACCTGAGCACAAGCACGTTACCTTCCTCCTCCTCCTCGCTTTGTATGAAATCTTTAAGTTACATGATTATAGATGTCTTACATATATATTTATCTATATAATATATAAAAAGGAACATCTGAAAATACTTTCACAATACCTCTGTGATTCTCTCACTCTCATTCTCTAAGTGGCATTTGCAAAGGGAAAAAGGTATTAGGACTGAGGTCATTGATTGCATTTTAAAAAAAAAAAAAAAGAAAAATTAAAGAGCTGTCTGAGGGTGTGCTAATAAAAATACCTACAACGCTTTAAGCTTAAGTGCTATGCTTTGTGCTCTGTGTGCAAAAGTTTGTAAGTGCATGGCGACAGACACGCTGAATGTTTGCCCATGATTCACACAGATACAAAAAAAAAAAACCTTGTCTGCTTGCGAGTTTGATCATGGTCCCTTTAAACAGTTTGTTCATACGTTACAAAACTGCAAAAATGATGGGTGCTACCAAACATACTGATTGAAACAATAAACTGTCACTAGACGGACAACCGAAAACAGGCATCATTACTGCAAAATCTCCACAAAGTGGGTGAGGACTTTTAAAGTATGTACATTCTATATCGAGCCTAGGGCTGTGCTGAATGGTTGAAGGGAAGAGGGGTACATTCAACGATAGCTTACAGGAACTGTGAGAACGAAAGTCAGATTTACATTAGAAAGGAATTCCAACTCGATGAAAGGTTTTAAGGTCTTCTGATAGAAAAATATTTTTGAGAATACAAACGATGTAGGCTACGCTTTGAATCATTTTAACTCCCTAGAAAAGGAGGTAACATGCACTAATTGCCCAGCAGCAGCTTCTGTTAGTGTTAAGTTGAAAAGACTGGCTTGCAGGGCAGTGAAAGCTACTCCGCAGGGTCGGGAGTTCAGAGGTGAGAGGAGTGTGTGCTAAAGTGTAGCGTGCAGGATTGTCATTGAGCTGCTGGTTGGTTTTGCTTCAGCTGGTTGCCACATTTTAATCTCCCTCTCCCTACACCTCAATGTCACTATTTGAATCATGCTGTTTAGCTAAATGGTGTTAGCCCTCTGTGGAGTCTGGGAAGGTGATTTCACTGCCAAACACCTCTCTGTACAGCGGGGGGAAAGTGTATGCTGTCTCGGGGTGAACCAGACAGAAGAACTCCAGTTTGTCAATGTGAAGATTGCAAATGGACCTCATTGTGGGAAGCTTAGACACCATCTGCAAGGAAAAAACAGAAGAAAGAGTTAAAATCGACGTCACAGTCACGCAGCAGTTAAACAACATCTCAGGTCGTGTGTTTTCACCAAACTGGTCGTGCAGCTCTGTACCTTCGCTAGTTTCTCTTCAGATGCTCCCTCTTTTTGTAGGCAGCGCTGCAGAGCCACATAAACTTTCTCCTGCAACTTCTGGATCTTCTGGACGTCTGTCAGCCAGGGTCGGTCTGAGGAAAAACAGTTGCATCGTTAGCATCGTGTCACCAATTTGGGTCTGAATCTGGCAAGGCTTACGATGTACAAATATCTAGGAGCAGAATACAGATCATAAAGTTTTACACGGGTGCTTTTGTATAGTTTTTGCATGTTAAGTAGGACTGCTTGTACTTTACATAACTGCTGACCGTACTGAAATGTTCGAAGCTGATTTTCCGCCTTCGAGGCAGCTACTGGTTTCAAATTCACTGCAGTTCACTTTGCAGAGACTTGAATCTTGCCCGAGAGAAGAAATCGCTGGATTATATATTTTAAATGCCAAGGTTACATTAACGTTGCGTGTTAATGCAGTTGTCAGCAGGGACCAATTTCTCCTTCTTAAGCATTTAACAGTAGGCTGCCTATCGCCACGACCACTGAAGTGACACTCCTGCTGCTTCTAATGCAGGCTTCTGTACTTTGATGTAATGAAACAGTCAGCTGGTTGCACGGTAGAATTGTAAATTCAAAAAAGGTAAGAGTAAATTATGCAAACTGTGCTATAACATGCAAAACATGAGTATAAACCACTGTGTACTTGATAAATAACCCGTCAACAGTCGTACTACACTGTCACCATGGCAGCAGAACTGATGAATGCATGTTTTCTGCTGAGCAAAATGAAAAACTTGAAGTGCTTGTCCAGCTGACAAGGTTGTGTTCCTGTGTTTGTAATACAAAAAGTGGGTTTGGGGAGTGAAGAAGCTTTCTTTTGCATCTCTAAAATTAGATTTTTTACCAGATATGAATGGATAATGCAGTCCAATGGAGGCAAAGCTACGAGTAAAACTATGCTGTCATTCTTAAGAGTAAGTTCATGAAGCTTTAGATGTATTTTAATTTGGAGTAATGCTCCAGCTTTCAAGTTCAAAAATCAAAATTTAAACGTCTAATTATTCGCAATTAGCTCGACTTATGTCTGATGCACTGATTCAGCTACTGTGATTCAATGCTGTGCAGCAACTCTTTATCTCTATAAACTTTTATGTGTCCCGACAAAGAGCTCACCTGATGTACGATATACCAGTTTCACCAGTTCAGTGTGTGTGTGAACAGGACATTTAGAGGCGTATTATCTAACCTGGCGAGAGCAGCACGGCAGCACTGAAGAGCGCCATCTCTTCCTCGGACATCTGCGTACGGCTCAGGCTTTTAGCTAAGTCAAACACTGAATTCACCAGGTCGTCACAGCCTGAGAGGGGGGAAAAAAGGGACAAAAATAGGCCATTAAAACAGAAACTGCAGAATGCGCTGATTATGACAAAGGTGACACGGATCAAAGGTTTCATCTAAAAATCACCGGATCGTCCTTTTATGCAAAAGAAAGAGAGCGAGAGGGGAGATAGTGAATGGGCTGACTCACCGAGAGATTTGAAAAGCTGAGCGGGGGCAAATTTTCCGTCGAAGAGCAATGTGTTATTTATGGGGTTGTAGGCCCGACACATACGGATCAGAAGGACATCCATGCAGCCTGTTGACACACACATAAAAACATATGCACGTTTAAATAGATGCTGTGTGACGGATATAAGAAAACACAACCAATAAGATAGTAAATGTTAGACAAGTCCTGTGTGAGTTTGTAGATGTCACTGCATCTTTAATAAGAGTGTAGTTTTGCATAATATTCTGGGGAACGATATGCAAATTTTCACCTGCATACTAATTATGTGACAGAGAATTTATTTCCTTTCCAATCACACGATGTTACTTTGTCTCCTTATGCATTTGACAGATTAATTGCACTGACACTGACAGGAATGTAAAGCTGCACCCTCAGGTGTCACTCAGGTTTGACAGATTGCATTTAGGTGTGGCACCGTTTGCACCTTTTTTTTTTTGACTTATGCACTGAATCTGTTCAACCAAACGCTGCGTTACAAAGCTTCTCTGTGCCCTGCTCTTATTATTGCTTCATCTTTTTAAAATAAACACAGGTCTTGGCTGTCGCTCAAAACCCATTAATCTAGTATTTGGACAGTTTTATTGTTTTAGCTGTCACTGGAAGAAAAAAAACATCAATTTTTAAATTTTGAATTCAGATCAAAGGTACTGTATGTTGACCTGAGAAAGCAGGACACATGTAGCTAAACAAAGCCAGCCTTTCTTTACAGGAATAACAACCATGTACCTTTTCTAGTCACTCTGCGAGCATGTGATAGTCTGTGATGTCAGCCACCACTCCAGGGTAATATACTATTCATTTGACAGCAGCTATCTTTGTCGCAGCTAAACGTTTGCAGAGTACTCGCCATGTTGTCGAACTGATTGTAGCCTGCAGGGTGTGTGTGTGCGTATTGGTGTCATGCACTGACCTGCTTTGAGGAGGATAATCTGATCATTCTGACAGAGGTCCATGAAGCCAGTGATGCGCTTGGCAAACTCCACCACGTACTGGATTGCATTGGTGATGTGAATGGCACATTGTTGCCACATCACCTCAGCCGACTGGAAGAGAGACAAGAACCAGACAGGACTGTGAGAACCGCAGCAGCCGACAGACTTTACACGAGTTGTATTACTGCTGATTGCATCTGATTTCCACTAATATGTCCCGAACTTGCTCGACAGTATGTAATGCATTTCTCTTAGAGCTCCAACCTTGACGAGCGAGACGGAAAGCCGAGCGGGGAAATGTATGATAAAAATTGTTTGGATTTTCAAACGTCATTGCGAGAATGACCTGTGGCGACACTTGAGTTTGTTTTACTGTGGAGCTTTATCCAAGGTTAAAAACTGAAAAAACATTCTTCTGTTGACCTTGTGACACAGAACACGAGGGCCAACGTGATATTTAGTAATTATTTTTTCATACATTTACACTTTACAGAGCAGTTCATGATACATTTCATTTGAATCAACCATCCAGGATGATGGCGGACAATTTTAACCACTTGAAATGGTCACCTTTGTCATATTTACCTTGGTCTGGTATGATCGCGTCTCTTCTGGGCTATACAAGGTCCACGCCATTCTCTTCAGCTCCTCTGTGCTGTACTGGCTTGTCTCAATATGGGACTTCACCACACTCTGGGTTATGCGCTCTGTATGGAGGAGAACTCTTACTTTAATTCTTCTTTTTTTTTACCATTTACATTCAGATTCATGATGCTTTCACGGTGGATTTAATGCCAACTGAGGGTTGATACTGACCGATCTCAAGCAGGGAGCAGCCCTCGGGCACTGGGTTGAGGATAGCGTGTGAGAAGAGTCCAGAATCGTGCAACAGCTGGTACTCGTGCTTGATGCTGTGGTTGCCGTCGACAAAGTCCAAGTTGGTCTGTTCTGGTGAACTCTGAGAGGATGAGCTGCTGCCTCCACTTCCGCCCAGCATGTCCAGGTTACAGTATTCGCCGCCTCCGTCCTCCGGGGTCAGCGGCAGGTCGAACAGCAGGCCCTCCGGCAGCGTGGTAATGTCGTCCAGATCGCTGAGCGTGGCGCTGGAGCCTCGTCTGTAGGGGCGGCCGTGGTCGACGGCGTCTCCGCTCTCCTCGCGGGCGCCGACCCCCGCGCACTCCTGGGACTGCTGGTGCTTCTGGACCTCTGCGTACAGGCTGTCGCGCTGCTTTTTGGACATTCGGCCAAACTTGACAGCTGTAACGGGAGGGTAAAAAAAAAAAATCAGGACTACATGACACAATCACTGTGACAAGCTGAAAGTGGGAGGTGGAAAGTCACTGTAATTAAATATAGATCGAGTCACTGAACTCACCATCGCGGCTCATGCCGAGAGCGAGACACTTCTGCAGCCGGCAGTGCTGACAGCGATTACGGTTGGTCCGGTCAATTAGGCAGTTCCTCTGTCGTGAGCAAGAGTACATCGCATTGTTCTGCTGGCTGCGACGAAAGAAACCCTACGGACAAAGACGGATACGTAAATGAGCAGATGGAAGCTTGCCAGGTTTCAGATCAGACGCTTTGATTTGCTTGAACTAAGTGGAATCAATGTTTCACCACTGTTGATTGCTCACCTTGCAGCCTTCACAGGTGATGACACCATAGTGAATCCCTGATGATTTGTCCCCACAGATTTTACACGGTATCACTTCTATTTGAGCTGAGGAGAGAAAAGAGCGCAGAAAAAAACAGTGCATGTTAATAGGAGCAGATTATTTAGAAAAGATCAGTTGTTCTTTTAATATAAAAAGAACACATGCAGAAGGTATGAAGCATGATTAGAATGTAATTGCTGTCATTACATAATGAGTCATAAGACTGCAGATTTATTTTATTTTGCAGCGTGGTCTAAATCTGAAAACAAACTTGCTGCTCTAGTGTGAAAATTTGCTGCTTTTTCCTCCATTATAATGGATTATTTTAAAGATTTATGGACTTTTGCTAAAAAAAAACCCCAACAAAATCTCAACCACATAACATGAGCAACCTCTGATAAGCATTTTAGTTTTGCTTTTTCAATATACTGACAAAAAAAACCAATATAACACAGATTAACTTCTCGTTAAAATAACACAAAGCTGCAGTCCTGCCTTGACCTTAAAGGCTTGTACCTATTGTTAGTGTTACACAACAGGCATCAAGACATTAACATAAATACGTAAAGCACACTCAGGCCGCAGGTATGTCACAGGTAAACACAAGATTTGGCCGCTGTTGCAATATTAAAGGATTTTTTAGTGTCACTCACGGGAACATTAAACATTTGCTTTCTAGGCCTGACCGCAATTACTGTCAATAAAACGCCACCCATGGCAGCTAAGTACAAACCAATATTTACTCCCGAAAGTTGTGATTTTTCAAACTGAACTCAAACAAGATGACCATGTGTGATACTGATTGAATTTTCTCACCAAAAAAAAAACAAAAAACTGACATCCTCGACAGTGAAATGTTACCTGTGGATCACAATATCTGAAATGTAGCTGAGAATAATGAGATGTCACAGGATCTTGAAGAAACAAGAGAAGTGTCAAGAAGCAAGAGAGAGAGAGAAAAAAAAGGGACAAAGTGTATGCATTATACACCTTGTGTTCATTGTGGAAGCCTGAGCCTTCTTACTCAGGAACAGCCTGTTCTTTTCATTATGTTGTTTATCTAAGTAGCTGGGCCTCCGCAAGCCCAGAATAGCAGGCCAATTGCATTAGCTGAGGCCCGGGGTTATAAAGTTTCACGGTTCTCTCTCTCGCTCTGTCACTCCTCCTCCTCCAGGATGAGCAAAAACGTTAGCAGGTTAACAAAAAGGAAAAAAAAAAAACTGCCACGACGAACCCTCCGAGGGCCGCGAATTGTAACCCGCAGACTGTTACCGTGCAGACTGTGCAGCGAGATTTGATTTGCCGCCGGCTGCGGGGTGTGTGTGTGCCAAACAAACCACCTTTGTTGGGTCACACAGGGTATTAGGTAACCTGCAAATCACAGGAAGAAAAAAAAAATCTCTAACTGGTCTTTACAGCTCTTCAGAAAATTGCTGTTTTTCTAAAGCTGTTATAAACTACTCACAACCGACCAATCACATGAGTCACTGTGTGTGGGGAGAGATATGCGTCACGCACTGAGAGCAGAGCAAAAGAGGTTAGTGACTGACATTACCCCGACAATCTCGACTTAGGGGGGGGAAGAAAGAAAAGCGACATTTTCCATCCAACAAAGGCTGTTTCTGTGCTGACATATTATCTTGTTTGGGTAGAATGCTTCTTGCCAATGTAACTTAACTGAGGGATATAAATAAATAAAGGGCGATGGAAAAAAAAAAAAAAAAAAAAATCCCTTTCTCCATTGCTCCCTTTATCGCTCCCCTCCCCTCCTCCAGAGCCTCACCCCCGCCCTTCAGCCTGTTATATAACCGCCGTCTGGCCGCATTCCATGAACACACTCATTCAAAGGTGGTTGTCCTGGCAACAGTGCGCCGGTCCTCCCTCGCCCCTCCTGCGCTCCCATTGGCCTCCGAGGCGGGAGGCTTTGTCTGTGACTCGCCGCCTCACCTGCCAGTCAGCTGAGCGGCACAGTCGAGCCCAGTAAGCAGGAGCTGCTCCACTGACACAGTTTCCCATTCAGCTATGAGGGGGGGCGGCGCTTGCCCGTTGGCAGCCTCACAAGGAACACAATCTGGTTTTCTTGCAGGTTTTTAAGGTGGAACGCAATCTGAGTCAAAGTCCTTAAGTAAAGGGGGGAGGGAGGGTGGATCCCTGCTTTTGGTTTCTGAAAAGACAACAGATTTGATTACAGAAAGAGACCTGAGTTGAAACTGGGAGGGACAAGCTGCCCCCCTCCACTGGTGTACGACTTGCGCAACATCTGGACGTGTTTCGAAAAACATCTAGAACAGCTAGCAGCAGGAGGTGGGACAGACGTAGCTAATAGTAGCCCCTAACTTGTCGCAGCATGTCAAGCATTTGAGTGAAATTTCAGCTGTGTTTGAGTTAGACCATAAATCTATTTTTACTCGGGTGCAGTTGGCTGCCCAGAGATTCCTTTTACAGTTCTGGCCTGTTAGCTAATAAATGGTGCACAAGTCACAACATTTCAGCGAAGTGCACACTGTTTAGTGTAAATAGCGGAGCAGTTATTACTCCAACGTCGGGGAGCTAAAAGTGCAACTATCACCTTTTACGTATGTTGTAATGCAGCATAGAGTCTGAACAAGAGCTCCTTTATTCTCCCTGGAATTTATTGAGGGCATTTCCACTAATCTTTGTTCTGAGACAAAATGTTCTTAGAAAACAATTTTTGTATTGTATTAACAAAGTGAACGTTTGACTTAAAGACAAGCAGCTGGAGTTTAAAAACCCTCCAGAGAACGTGTTGAAAACAGACATTTTATTGCGTCGTGTCTTTGCCAAAGTAATTTCTCTGAGAATCTTTCGGAGCCTCGGGGCGGAAAACAATGTTCTGATGTCAGAGACAACACGAAGGAACCTTTAAACTCAAACAAATGTCTCACAGTTCTCTCTGTGTCAGTCAGTCAGTGTGTCAGCGTCTGCTGATCAGCACTTTCTGTCCTCGTCGCTGCTGTAAAACGCTCGGCGAGGGAGACTTTGCCCTCTCATCCCAGCTAATCAAACAAGAGTCCAAGGTCCTATTTACCTTGCACTTTACCTACACCTGAGATACTGTATACTTAACCTAGATTCGATTGGGCTTCTGGGGGCCTGTGCTTGACGAGTGGCATATATGATGTATTGTGTAACAAACTGAGAGGTTCGATTACCAAAAGAAGCAACAAAAATGTCATTTTTATGGAAAACACACACTGCTCTCGTCCTACCCAGTATCTCCCAGTGCAGGGCCTCAAACTGCCACCTGTTTTCCATACAGCTGGAGTATGTGAACGGTAATAATTGCTTCTTCTTTTCTCCTTCTCCTCCCACTGACCTACCTAGAGAACACAGATAGTATAATATGGCCGGGCACTAACCTCAAACTCTTTAAAAATGCACTGACTATTACTCAGCATGTACAGTAGCGGTGGAATGAGGCGTATTAGTGTACAGCGGCTTCATCAGAGAGTCCCGCATCATGCGTTGCACTTCAGTGTATACAGTATACTCAAGTGTATTACGAAATGGGCCTTTAAATTGGCACCGCTGTATAACATTCCTGAAACTGGAAGCCTGCGATGTTATGGCACATATGTTACGTGCAGTACACAAGTCTACCTGCACACGAGTTATGTCATCTTTACTTTTTGATGCTTATTCTCATATTTGAGTTTTTCTTGAGTCTTGTTTCATGGCTCAGCACTTTAACACTCAATATAAACCCACTGACTTGACACAAAACTATGCAAACCATTTCCAACCTTCTCCATTTCAGAATTCCTCGCCTTCTCTCAGAACAAACATTCACATGTTAAACAACAGCGCTGCGCCTGCCAAGAAAACCAAACCTCACACTCCGCTCCTCCATAATCCTGCACCATTGATCAAGGCAAAGATAAAGTGCATTCACTTGACCGTGCCGTGCTCCGAGCCCGAACCCGAGAGGGCCTCTGCAACACAAGCACAACCACACTGAGGAATTCACTTCGCAGCATGTAATTTTTCATGCTGCTCCAAACCGCAGGAACAAATTTAGGACTGTGCAGCCGCAATCACGGTCGCCTTGAGTTAAAATCTCCCTGCGTCTGTTTCGATGTCACTTATCCTCATGAAAATAGATATGAGCTATCAAAATGACACTGCACTAAGATATAACTGAGTCTAAGCAAATATCAAAGAGCAAAACTATTATTTTCCTTCATTTTTTCCAATTACTGTGCTGCAGAATGAACCACAGGCGCAACACAAGAAAAAAAAAAGCAGCTACGTGCCTAACATTCGGCCACTTCTGCTCGCATACTAACACGCAGGTTGTGTGGCGAGTTTAAGCGTCAGATAAGCAGAATGGAATCTTAGCATGCAGTTGTCAGAGAGAAAAGGGCACCTTGACACATACTGTAACTTGCTGTGAACTTCCCTGAAGGCTGCACACTCAACAGATAGTGGCTTTGAGGCTGAGCTCAGCACAGCAGTGTCCTTGGAGAGCAGAGAGCAGCCTTTCCTCTTTACTGTTACCAAACCTTTGATCCTCCACTAACAGGGCTCCATCACGCTCCTGTAAAGCTGCAGCATCAGTGCACGGAGGCATAAAGGAATAAGGCTGCTTTATTGAAACGTATTTGATCGCATTGCACCACACTTTGCCTAACCTCTTTATGCAGCAGTTTACAAGAATAACCTCTAAGTGAGAAAGTTCATTGGTGCTATTAAATGCAATCTATGCAGGTACAAAAGTGACTTCACAGTCCAGCTCTGTGTGTGGGTGACACTGTAAATTATGTAGTATTTTGACAAAAATGGCATTGACAAGCCGTGCTTGACTGGACTGGCATACACTCTGGTTGATGTAAGTAACCTTAGCTGGCAGAGGAAGCTGAGCTTAACTGAACCCTGCTGTGCTTCACGGTTAAATGTGGGCTTGCTGTGCCCATATCCTGCTTGTCACAGCAGTGCATGAGGGTTTGACATCAGGAGAGCACACAGTAAGTCATTTCAAATGGATAAATCTTCCCGTAAATGGAAATATATGCCAACAGACATACGCTTGTATTTCATAATTATAATCTCGGTCCCATAAAACTGCTGTTGTTTTCGTGCGCTAAAGTAATAAAAGCCAGCTCTCTGTGCCTGTGCGCTTCCTTGACAACTGATTTAAATTATCAACATTGTTTCATCAGTAATGACGACAAACTGCCTCCACCCGCACACACACACGTACACACACACACACACTTGCTGTAATCCTCAATGACAGAACTAGGTCAATGGAGCACCTCCTCTCTCTCTCTCTTTCTCTCTCTCCTCTCCCCCACCCTCCTCACCCCTCCTCCCCCCTCTCTCACACTGGCCGCCATACTGCTGATTCTGAAAACAAAAACACGCTGTTTCATCCACGAACTGTCAACCACAAAGAAATCAAACCACAAGCGCAATTTGGTCCATTACGCACAAATACGCACGAAACAGGAACTCCAAAAAATGGCACAACAGTGAAAAATGCGAAACTAATTTTCCTAATAAATGAGACAAAAGTGAAATTATGTACAAATATGGATCATATTCATGTAAAAGAAGAGGCTCGAATCACAAACTGGCCACTTCTCCTGCGTGTACAGTCCCTGCCAGCAGATTTTCATGCGGCTTGACAGCCAGTGAATCACTCCGCTCACCGCCCCCCTTCCCTCTTTCGCTCTTACATAACTGAAGTCGCTCACCGGCGAAAATAAAGTAGCCGAAGCACAGCTCCAACGCATTTTTTCTTATCACAGACATAACTGGGCTAAATAAGCACACAAAATCCTTCACAGTTTATACAAATAGAACAAAAACGCGCATTTTGAGAGTTATGTAAATCAGTGATTAAAGTAGTCCGCTTCAAATAAACATCCCGTAAACATTTTATTTTAAAGCAAAGTGACATATTTAAGTTTAATATAGAAGCTACAAGCGTATTTTACTTCCCTATTAATGCAATCTGGCGTTTCATCCAGTGCGCGCTTGCAGTTGACGCACTTCGGTTTTTTAAAGCCTTCCAATGCGCACTCGAAAAGTTGCACCACAAACACATTGTAAAATGCACAAACTCACCTCTCATTTCGGCGGTGGAAGTCTAGCCAACACTTAAGGTCATACAACTCCAGGTGGAAAGGAAGCCGGGAAACACTGACGCGCACGTATTCGCTCCAAACCGGAGCAGCTGAAAACTGTCACAACAACGACTCCTCATATGGATTCTTTCTAGCTTTCGTTCTTCATCCGCGCTGACCTTTGAGAAAAGGAATAAAAGCGGCTGTCTTATTTGACTGGCTCCTCTCGACTATCGGTATCTGCTTGTTTGTTGGTGAAGTAATAACGCGTCGCTCGCTCGCTCCTTGCAGCTCCGTCCTGCTCTGTGGCTCTGCGTTCTAACCTAGTTTCGGCGCGTGGACTACACATGATCCTCACCCCGCGGTGCGCCCGCCTCGTGCCCCGTGAGCTGACGCGCGCACCACCCTCCCCTCCCCACCTCCCCTCGCGCGCTTTAAGGAGGCTCGAGCGTGCGTGGGAAAGTGTGGCAGTGTGTCAGTTCAGACCGACAGTCACCCAGCGTGGGAACTATTTAATAACAAGCGCACATTTATTCTGCCTGCAGAGTCTTCTCCTCCAAATGCACCCATGTTGGATTTTCCTTTCGCCATGAAAAGGAACCAAGATGCATTTTAGATTAAAAAATAAATAAATAAATAAAAAACTACCAAAAACCAGGTCTGCATAAAAGCCTTTTTTTTTTTACATAGTCGATAAATAATAGGATTGGAGAATAATGTTCTGTTAGCAGTGGCATCTCTAGTAATTAATCAAAAATTCAAATCCAGGAGTTGATAAAAATGGCCTGACATTTTAGAAATAATACATTTAAGATATAAGTATCACAACATATGCAATAAAGTTATCTGACTGGACACATAAACAGACTCAGTGTGTCCCAGTGTTTAGGTAAACACATGCCATAAGCAACATAAATTAGGTTCAAACTTGATTTAGGCATCTCTAAGTCATCGCCACTCGTCCCCAATGAAAAGGAGCATTTTAGATAAAAATAACACAACCCAAGTCTGCATAAAAACCTTTAATATAGGCAATACATTACTGGATTGGATAAACCGACTCACAGGGTCATATTAGTGTTGTTGCATGTTTACATACGCAGCTTAAATCAAGTTTAAACCTTTGTTAGATGACAAAACCAACATAAAATAGGTTTAAACTTGATTCAAGCATCTCTAAGTAATCTGTATTCTTTCCCCTTGAAAGGAACTCTAGTGCATTTCAGATATCACAAACCAAGTCTCATTAAAACTCTTTCACATGCTCAGTAAATAATTAGATGGATTTGCTGTTTACGTCTGACACTGACGAAATCGTGAGGTAAACGTGATGTTTTTCTTCCCCCTTGAAAAGGAACTGCGATGTATTGTAGATAAAGGCTGTGCATAAATATCACAAGTCAGTTCTTCATGAAAACTTTCCGTATAGGTGATAGATTATTGGATTTGACAAATAGACAAACTGATGAGTTCTTTCAGTGTCACTGCATTATCATACACTGAATCTTACAACACAGCAGCCCAGAGTTTAAAAAAGATGTGACATTTGATGTGGATATTTGATGAAAATGCACCTAAATTTGCACAAGTTGTCTAACATTGACCAAAAAAAAGGCGAGATTAACATGATGTTTGCTGTAATATTACTTAAGATCAACCAGTGTGCAGCTGAAAGATAATATTTGATCATTTAAGAAGCTGATTTTTGTCTGACTGCGTGAATGCACGGACAGCGTTGCTGCTTGATTTCATAGTACACTTCCTCTTCTTCTTCTTCTTCTTCTTCTTCTTCTTCTTCTTCTTCTTCTTCTTCTAACAATAATAATAAATTAAAGTATCAATGTTTAGTTTTTCCTGCCTCTATCTTCATAAAAGAAATTTCAGTTCTGGCAGCACATTATTGGATTAGAGAATAATAAACAGACTGAAAGATTCACATCAGTGTTTTTGCATGTTTACACTCAGTAAATCTCATAAAACAGGCTAAATCCAGTTTTAACCTATTTTATTTGTTCCATGGGATCTCTCTGGGTAATGGTAATGCAGCATAATATTCATGCATTAATGATGTTTGCGGTAATATTACATAAAATTAAAGTCAAAAAGTGTCCACCTGGAGGATAATAATGCATTTGACAATTAAAGAAGCTATTTGATGTATTACTTCTAACGTTTTCTGCGTAATTAAAGTGTCCAAGTTGAGTTGGAGTATTAATGTTTGGTATTTCCTCCCAGGGAAACAGCTATGATCCACTCTAGACAGACTAATAGTTAAATATCACAAGCCAGGTCTTCATAAAAGCATTCAATGTAGGCAATAAATTATTGGAATTGGAGAATTATTAACAGACCTAAATGCTCATATCAGTGTCTTGCATGGTTGCATAAACACACAAAACAGCTCAAATCAAGATTAAATCTATTTTATGTTAGTTAAAGCATCTCTAAGTAATAATAATGCACAAAAATGGTGCGATAGACATGATGTTTGGTCTAATATTACATAACGTGAATATCAAAACGTGTCCACCTGGAGCGTAAAAATGCATTTGACAATTTGAGAAGCTGTTTGGTGCATTATTTAAAAAACTGTTCTGGGTTATTAAGTTAGACATCCAAGGTAAATTAAAGTGTTAACACATGTTAGTTCCTCCATGAAAACAGTAACAGGGAAATAAGACAAACTAGGTCTTCATAAAACCCTTTAATAAAGGCAATAAATTACTGGAATGGAGAATTATTAACAGATCATGTTGGTGCATGCGGGAATAGAACGTCATAAAACAGCACAGACCGGAATGAGTTTAAATCAAGATTTAGACTGTTGTATGTTAGTCTTGGCACCTCGAAGTAATAATAAAGTACCTGAAAGCACACAAGCAGTCTAATATTGACTAAAGTGTCGAGACAAACATGATAGTTGCTGCAATATTACATAATGAGTCTTTAAAAAGTGACCCTCTGTTGGGTGATAACATCTTTTAAGCGAATTATTTTGCAAAATTTTGAATAAAATTAAAGTATAATGAGCTAAAACATGACCTTTATAGGTACTCAGGTTTACACTTGACCATGGCTTTTAACTGAAATGGGAATTCCCGTTATAAATAATATATTTCTGTGTTACTTAATCTGCAAATTAAAGAGTCAGAGGTTATATGTTAGAGGAGAAGCCACGTCCTCTGGATGAAAGGAGTCTTAATTATATCACAGGATTAACGGACGCTAATCTTATAGAGGAATGAAGTGAGCGCAGGTTGAGCTTTGTTTGTTTTGCTCGAAGAAATCTATCTATCTATCTATCTATCTATCTATCTATCTATCTATCTATCTATCTATCTATCTATCTATCTATCTATCTATCTATCTATCTATCTATCTATTTCTATTTCTATCTATTTCTTTTTCCTTTTTTAAAAATGTAGGAGTGTTTGACAGGAGGAGATGAAAACAGCCCCGGCACAAGAAAAGCCAGACACAAACCAAACCCATTAATAACAATGCTGATGAAAATAATTGATTTGCAAGCGTGGGCAAGATGACGAGTGTATCATGTAACTTAGGCACAGTTATGAAATGAGGAGAAGCGAGAGATTATGGTAAGTAGGTTAGTGGAGCAACACAGAGCTTTCACACCCCTCCCTCTCTCGCCTCTCCGCCGTGCATGCGTGGTGAGTCTTCCCCTGTCTTTTTCCACTGTGAACACTTTTGTCCTGAATCATATCAGTTTATACAGTCGCCCGGCAACACCTTCTGCATGCTTTGTGTTCGTACTTCTGTTTTGTTTCTCCTTCTTGTGTCTAATCTAGCATATTTTTTCTATAGGTTCTGCCTCTCCTGCGTGTAAAAAAGGAAAAATGTCTTGCTTTTCCTGCACGGTTTTAAAAATACAATGCTGGGAAAGTGCTGTCAGAGTGTTTGCTTTATTATATTCGGCAGCTGTAAACTTCCCCTTCCTCCCATTTTATGGTTTTGTCAGTCTGATTGTTTCCTTCCTGATCCTCATCTGTCGTCTTTCTCGGGTTATATTATGTCCCCGCCGCCGCCGCCGCCTGTCCCGCTGTCGCCACGAAGCAGCCACACATCCATCCGGTGTTTCGCCTGCAGCGTCACTGACCTCCTGACCCTGAATCTTATGTAACCATGGCAATACCCAAATTAGAACATGGGAGCATGGAAAGAAGGAGGCGCTTAGAGCTTCACACACGGGCACGTAGCTCTCAGACCAGCTTTCCAGATTATGGCAGATGGAATGAGTGTGTGCGTGCGTGCACCGTGTGTGTTGTGTTGTGTCAGAGAAACACAACAGATGCCAAATCTTAAATCAAACACCTTCACCTCCTGAGCACGGGGTTGTGGTATTGACACATCCGGAAACGTTTTCTGCACATTCAAAGCGTGATGCATGAATGCAGTGACAATTTAATAGCTCAAACTGGCCTCTGTCCTGCACTGCATAAAGCCCAGTATACTGAGAGGATTATTTTAGGATCCAGGCTCTGGCTTCCGTAATCCTCTCTCCTCTCCTCTCCGTCATCCTGCTAAACCCCTCTCCCTTCTCCTCTTTCAAATGCCCACTAATCTCTCTCACTTGGACTCTGTGTGTGGCTGTAATCTGGTTTGTACCTATCTTTCACCTGCACCAAGTTCACATCAATAGGTCAGTGTGCCAAACTTCAAGGTGCTTCTTCGCTTTTCATGTGTTCGCTCCTGCCAACGTGACAGATGGCCCCGCGCGGTGCTTGATTGATGTTTTAAAGCTAAACGCAGACGATAACATGTTCAGATGCGCGACTTTACGAGTTCAGTATAGATTTAATAAGCAGCAGACGAGGTGGCTCTTCTGGAGACTGTTGTCTGACACAATCCCCCGGCAGCTAAAGATGTCGGCGCTGTCATGGAGCTGTCATTGCCCCCTCCAGGAGCTGCAGTCTTAGAAGGATAGCTGTGAATAATTGAAGGTCCGGTTATATAACAAAAAAAAAAAAAAGTAGAAAAGTTTCGATCGAGCTTATTCACCTGATACAGCAGAAAAGCTCCAGAAGCAGTGAGAATGTGCACCTCAAGTAAGACTGCAATGCCAAACTTATGGAAAAGCTCTGATTTGTTAGTAAGCGGAGAATATTCCTACAACGTTCCCTAAAAGTTCTAATACTGAAAGAAGTCGTAATGCTGAAAGAACGCTTTAGGGATGTTTATAATGCCAAACAATGATCCCGTGAGTTTAAATGTTAACTCAGACATAATGTTTCAGCTGCAGCGTTTAGAGGATGTTTTGAGGACACTGTCACAGATTATGCAACATGATAACAAAC